TGCGTGTAGAGGGGGGGGGTGACACATTCTCCATTGGCTTTCTTGGGTGGTATCTCCATAGTCCTTGTGTCTTGCACCTAAGCTTTGAGTTGTGGAGAGAAACTAAAATGTTAACAAGCCCACCCACCCACGTTTTTTCTATTTTTCACTCACAGGTAATTTAGCCCAAGCTGAAGCCGTTGGAAGAGAAGCGCTGGAATTGATACCTAATGATCACTCCCTTATGTTCTCACTGGCCAACGTGCTGGGGAAATCCCAGAAATACAAGGTATTCGAACCGCACCCCGTTATTTCGTGCAGTCAGTGCCAGCACCCGCCAGAAGCCATCCACGTTTGTTCCGCTCAGTGCAGTGCAGGGTTAGGCCACGGATGGGGCAGTTTGTTTGCTTCCTGGACAAGTTGCCCTACAGCTACAGTGTCTGCAGGTTCGAATCCAATGCCCTTTCTCATGGAACCTGTCACTCAAACTAGGCTAGAGGAGGAGGAGGGTGGGGAAGAGAAGGGAACTGTCCATCAGTCTGCCTCCTTCTCCCCCAGGGCTAGTGGAGGGGACAACCTCCAGAGCAGTGGCAGGCTCACCGTGGTAGCTGCCCAGGTGCTCACCCTGCCGGGGGGTTGCCTCTCTCTTTTCGGGTGTGCTGGAGCACTGAGTTTGTTGCCAGTGGCATTGAGGGCACCGGAAAACAAAAGCAAGCCAGCCGTGAGGAATGCACAGTCCAGTTGTTTCATCTAGACTCTAGCCTCCTCATCTAGACGGGAGCAGTGTTTCCCTAAGCAGACAGTATCGCTCCCCTGGGGCACTGGAACGACGCGAGGAGGCTGCAAAAGTAGCTGCCTACACTTGATCCTGGATTATGGGCTATCGCCCAAATATTTCTCATGGACGGGGGACACTGAGTAATTTTTTTGTCTGAAGAGGGGGCAGTCAGCCAAGTAAGTTTTGGAACCCGTGATCCAGAGCAGGGGTCAGCAAACTGCCTCCAGAGCCGTACGCAGCTCTTTCAGGATGTATTTGTGACTGAAGTAAGATCACAAAATTTTTAAGGATATTATTCAGATGTTGATCATTTCATCTGTTTATAAAAATATATTTATGGCTCTTGAATAATTTTGTAATTGTTCTGAGGGACCCGATTGGCTCTTCCATCTCAAAAGTTTACTCATCCCCGAGATCGAGAGTAAGTTATAAGTAATCGGCAAGGTCCATGAGGATTCTGATGAATAAAAACAATGGGGTCAAAAACGGGATATTCTTAGGATCGGTTTCACTGGGACTCCTAGGGTTTGCCCTGAATCAGAAGGGACACCGCTACGTATGATTTCAGCACACCCACAGTTTCCATCAAGTCAGTTCTGCTGCACAGTGACCCCATGTGTGTCAGAGCTGAACTGTGCCCCATCATTTTCAGTGGCTCCTTTTTCAGAAGACGGTCGCCAGGCCTTTCTTCAGAGGCTCCTCTGGGTGGTTTTGAACTGCCAACTCTACGGTTTAGAGTCAAGTGCTCAACTGTCCACACCACCCAGGAACACTACCCTCCACCCCGGATATATTGAATGACAGTTAATGTTTCTGAAGGAGCCCTGGTGGCATAGTGGGCTGTGCATTGAACTGCTAGCCCCAAGGTCAGTGGTTCAAATGCACCAGCTGCTCTGTAAAGGGAAGATGAGGCTGTCAGCTCCCATAAAGAGTTTAAGTCTTGGAAACTCAAAGGGGAAGTCTTCTCTGTCCTGTGGGGTCACTCGAAGTCCGACCTGACTCTCTGGCTGTGCGATTGAGAGTTTGGTATTGTTTCTGGTAACAATGATCCTGAAACTTCATAAATGTGAGGCTCTGAGAGAAGCTTGTTAAAGTGTAGTTTGCCTCCCCACTATGAAGTACACCCCCCCACCATCACCACTATTGAGCATTTTAGTGGGTTGAGCAAGGTCAAAGAATGTGCACTTTTAACAGGCTGGGCATCTTCACACTGTTACAGAAAACCCACTCGTAGAAGCCGTGCCTTAGCCCTTTCCTGAGAGGCTTTCTTTCAGAATCAGAGACTTTATCTTCTTTTGATCACCCTGAGGCTAGGCCTAAAGGTAGTGGCAAAATCATACCTGTCCAGGGCTCCTCTCCTTTGCTCAGTCCCTCTATGTCGCTTTTGCTGGCACAAGGTAACACCTGGGCCGTAGCTCTCCTTTGTGAGCGCCAGAGTGGAGTAGCTTTGCTATACATTGCATAATTTCTAGATTTTGCTTCAAAAGATAGCTTATTGAGAGATCTTGTGGATTTACCAATGTATAAAGAGCCCTGGAGTCACCGTGGATTAAGCATTTGGCTACTAGCCAAAAGGTCGGCAGTTTAAGCCCACTCGCCAGTCCCCTGGAGAAAGATGAGGCAATCTACTTCTGCAAAGGTGTGCCATCTCAGAAGCCCAGGGGAGCAGTTGCGATCTGATCTATGGAGGCCCTACAAGGGATCAACTTGAGGCAGGGGTTTTGTCCTGGAGTGGGGGGAGGAGGCGGTATGAGGTATGTGGGATCCTTCGGATGACCCATCCAGTCCACTGTGCCGGACTGGGGGGGTCAGAAGTGTGGGTGCATCGCCCACACAAGGCAGTGACAGTGAGCCTTCATCACGATGCAGCTGGTGTAATCACTGCGATTTCTATTACATGGAATTTCTATTAAGGTGACAGAGCCCTCCCCCCACCCACCTGTCCCAGTTCATTCTGCTTCCAGCACCTTCTCCTTGTCCTTGCCCCCAGATCAAGGATAAATGCTCTCTAGGACAGAATGGAGGGACCAACTTGCCGTTTCTCCACACACGGTGTCCCCTAGTTGTCTAGACCAGGGCACCGAGGGTAAGAGACGGAGACAGGTGCAGGCTGAAACAAGGAAGCGTCTGTGCCTTCCTGAGCCTCCAAGAGGAGGGAGCGCGCATGGCCCCTGGTCCCTGAAGCACTCACTTGGGCGCAGTTTCAAATTGAGAGTCTGGCATGTCAAACAACTTTATGTGGGGGGTGGGGATGCTCACCAATTTCTACTGCTACCAGGCAGCTAGGTGCCCAGTGCTCGGCGCTGGCGAGGTGGCCTGTGCCCTCGCAGAGTGCCGGGTGGGATGCTCTGGGGATGAGTCCATTCTGATGGAGGGGCAATGTGGTTATGAGCCGGAGGGGCGGCCTGACAGACCTTCCGGCTAGGTGATCACTGAGTGGACAACTCCCTCCTCACCTATTCACTTACTGTTTCACATGAATTTTTCTGTTACCGTGAACTTTGGATACATTCCTGTCCTTAGTTTGGCTCTTCGTGGAGGTCAAGGCTAGTCTTCGGTACTAGTTTTCTATCTCCCATGCTGCCGGGCATCCGTTAAGAATGCCAAATGACTCCTGATCCCATAAAGATGTATGTGTCTGCAGTCTCTCAAGGAGAGCATGAGACAGGGCAAGGGAGCAAAGGCAGAGCCTGTAAAGTGACCACATCTTGAAACTATATTTCCCAGAACCCCTTGCTACTCTGATGGAGGGTCCCAAGAATCTCGTGAGTACTGCACCCCCAAAAAAACCCTCACTGCTATGGAGTCAAATCTGCCTTGTGGCCCCCCTATAGGACGGATTAGAACTGCCCTGTGGGTTTCTGAGACTGGAACTCTGTACAGGAGTAGAAAGCCTCATCTTTCTTCCAGAGAACCCTTACAAACCACTAGTGGGCATGCAGAGCAAGGGGCCAGAAATACCCAGGCTGCCCAGGCTTTCTGTTATGGGTTTCTCCCTCCTAGGAGTTTCTAAATAAAATGCTGCTGTGATGCCCTGGGTCTTACACAAGTCGATGTTTCTCCTGGTAAGACAAGAACCTAATTCCAGTAACACATCCAAGAAATCCCAGGGCTGTAAACGAACGTTGAGACAAAGACCTTCCCCCACTGTCAGCAGAGAGCACCTGCTCCCACAGCCTGTACCCTTCAGGACGTTTCTATTCATGCCTGTGGTACGTATGTTAATGAAGATATAATTATGAAGTTTAATTTATTTTATTAGACAAATCATATCAATAAGGACATGCTGTCTTCTTTTTTAAGAATGCCAAATGAGTAGATGTGACCCAGTTGAGTGCCTCTCACATTCGGCTCTGCTGTGCGCAGGCATCTAGGATCTGCTCGGAGACCTTGTGGGACAACACAAGTGGTCTGCCACCAAGTTCATTATTAATCCTGGAAACCCGTAGGACAGGGCAGAACTGATCCTGCAGGCCTTGTGAGCAAATTGCCACATCACTTTCCAATGGTAGGGTTAGGGGGCTCAAACTGCTGACGTTTTGGTTAATGGCCAAGTGCTTAGCCCCTGAGTCACCAGGGCTTTTTATTCTCAGTATACTGTCATTATCAGACATTATCTTCCTCCCTCAGCTGCCCCCACCACCACCACCACCACCACCACCTCATAAGCCAAACTTACTGCCATCGAGTTGATTCCAACTCATAGAGAACTCTGTATAGGGTTTCCTGCAAATCTTCATGGGAGAGCTTTGTCTCTCTCCCTAGGGGCAGTTGATGGGCTTCAACCTCCAGACTTGTGGGTTAGCGACCCACAGTGCCCGCCACCAGGACTCCTCCCCCAAACCAAAGTCAGTTCTAACAACCCTAGATAGGGCTGCCAAGGCTTTATAAATCTTTACAGAAACAGAGTCTCATCTTTCTCCTGCAGAGCAGCTGGTGGGTTTGAACTGCTGACCAGGCAGTTAACAGCCCAATGCTTAGTCACAGTGCCTCCAGGGTTTTTCCCCCAGTAACCCTTTGTACCGAACTGCAGTCCTGTAACCGCTTCAGGCCTCAACTTAGTCACCTGTAAAATGAGCCAGTGATCTCCCCTACCTCCATGGCCAGGTGATCTGAGAAAAATGCACAAGGATGCAGTTTGCAACTATAATAAGATTAAGAAAACCCTCATTTCCATTTAGTCAATTCCAATTCATAGCAATCCTTTATCAGGCAGCGTAGAACTGCCCTATGAGTTTCTGAAACAGTAACTCTAAGGAGTAGAAAGCCTCATCTTTCTCCCCCAGAGTGGCTGGTAGTCTCAATCTGCTGACCTTGAGGTTAGCTGTCCAATGCTTAACCAGTATGATGCGCGAGCTCCTCTGTATTGGGGTAGATAGGGGTAAAGTAATGCTCATAGAGCGAAGCCCTAAGAATCATAAAAACCTTTAGAATGTATCTCGCTGCTGTACCACTTAATTCTTCCTTTGGGGTGAATGTGGTGGAGCGAAGAACACAGCAGTGTTTTCTAG